GTCGTTAATTGATGCGCTGTGGGCACGTTTTCAGGGTTTCCGCTTTTCCACAAAACCTCCAGTGTGTTGAAACTCTGCTTCTTTTCTGTCTCTCTCGGGATCATCCGCTGCATAATTACACCCATGTGTGGTGTTATTGTGGCAGTGCGTGTTGTTATGACAATAGAGGCAGCTGATGGGATGGTGCACATGCATCCTGTCCGACACACACACTGAGTATGTGTGTGTGTGTGTGTGGTGAGGACGTGGGAGCAGTAAATTCGCAATGCGCCAACTTGCTGACAGCAGCCATCAAGCATCCATCACTATTTGGGATCCCTAAAGGCGTCTGCGGGGATCAGCAGAGGGGAGGAGGGGGGAGAGGTGGGGGGACACCGGCTGCAACTGCACATTCACCTGGGTTTAAGTGGCCGCATAACACCTGGATTACACAGATTCAGTTTGCAGAGGAGCGGTGATCCCCGGGACTCTGACAGCTGCAGGGGGGTGAGGTCAGCTCAGGCCGTGTTACTGCTCTCACACACACACACACACACACACACACACACACACACACACACACTGGAGAAGAGACTTTTAGCCTTGTTAGTGTGTGTGTGTGAAATACTGTAGGGAGACACAGACAGACAGGGAGGGAGGGAGGACAATGTGTTGCAGCCTCCACCGCTCATGAGTATTCCGTCTGCAAACTACTGCAGCTCTTCCTCAGCAGCAACCCAGGAAAACTCCTCTCGCCTCCCCCTCCCCCTCCCCTCCTCATCCTCATCCTTTACTCTGAGTCAGCAAATCTGACCTCCCCATGATGAAAGATGATTACCCAACTGCAAGAGGAAGGAGGCGGAGGAGGAGAGGAGGGCATCAGAGAGATGGTTAAAAAAAAAGATAGAGGATGAAGGTCAAGGGAGATGAAGGGGCAGACTTATTGCTCGCAGCTTTGAACGTTTTAATCATACGTAGAAACAGATTTATTCTGCAGGCTGGTGTTCGTAAGTGGAGCCAAATAACTAATGAGGGAGGGCTTGGCTTTTATTTAAGGCTGAGAAGCTAATGTGCTTGTCACATCAGAAGTTGAAAGCGTTTCGCAGTACGAGTTACACACTTGTCTGTTAAATGACCCTCTTATTCCCGTGATACCAGCTCCAGTGCAGGGATGCAGCCCGCCAGACATCCCCACTGATGTAATGGACAAAGGGCTTTTAGATCCGTTCGTGCTGATTTCCTTAGCTGCACACTGTTAAAATCATAAATGCATTTACTACCACAGTGCAGAGCTGGAGGTTGACACAGCAGCTCGTCTCAGTGGAGCTCAGGTCACAGCCACAAACCACAAGTCTGTTATTTTTTTTCCTGAAAATACTCAAGCATATAAGATGGCAGGATTCCATTTATAGTGCCTATAAAATGTATTCACACTCAGTCGTGGTCAATATATATTGTTTTTGACAATAATTTACAAAAAAGACTCTTTCATGTCAAAGTGAAAACACAGTAATGACAATGAATTGATTAAAAATATAAAACATAAAGTAGTAAATGCATCTTTGGCCACGATTCCAGCAGTNATCCTGTTAGCTACATTCATGCTAAGCTAGCTAAATCTGAAAGAAAAGTTTTAAAAATGTGTTTTGTTAGACGTGATCACACCAATAAGTGACAAAAACAAATAAAAATCCTACACGTGTCTAGTTCCTCCTCAGTTCGCTATGATCCCTCCTGCTGAGAGCTGCAGCCTACCTGAGGCGCGCACACACTAACACATGTGCACACGCAAAGCACACACTGCTGTTAGTATTGAATTATTGAGTGGTGAGCAACAGGGACGCACACAGCATACACACCAGGGGGGTAATAAGACACCAAGGAGAGCAGCATGAACATGATTGCACACACGCACACAGCTGCCAGCATAAGCTAATCCTAATGAGGTTTATCCAGAGTTAGGGGGCTGAAAAAATATGTCACACATTGGAACATGGTATAAGGACCCGGAGCTGAAGAGGTGTTTAAGTGCACACACACACACGTCGGCATATAAACACACACACACTGACCAAAAGAGACGAGGATGACCCAGAGTGAGGAGTTAGTGTCAGGACTCCGACATCTCATTGTGTCAGCACAGATGCAGCTCAAACACACACAAAAATACTCAACACTGCAGTAATATTATGAAAACTACATTTTCCCACATGTGCTGCTACACCCGAACACAGCACCCCTGTTAGACAAAGTGACTTGTCGCCCAGGCAAACATTTTCATCGCTTCGCTGTCCCTGCTGACGGCTTCTCATTGGCCGATCATCCAGTCAGCAAATACATATCGGACAACAACAATTTCATGATTGGTTCCGAGCTGCAGATTTCATTCCTGGTCTGTCTGCTTCATCACACCGAGCAGAATTCATCTGTTTCGGATTCAGTCAACACAGCCACCTTCCTCCTCTCCTACACACACACACCTCCTTGCTTTCCCCCTTTTCTGCTGATGCATCAGGTTCAAAGATCCGTCAGCAGCTTTGGTTAATGTGTGCCTGCAACATGGCCGACTCGGATCATTGAGTCCTGCAACAGCCTGCATCCGGTCGAAATTTCACATGTTTTTTGGGGGTAACACGCCACACAGCGCCTCGCCTTCCACCCTCATTCTGTCATTACACAACGTGACACAACTTCTTTCTATTCATGGGAAGTTTTCCTAATCTGTGTGCAGTTAATCCCAATCTGCATCCGCCCCGCGTGTCCCCCTCCGGGCTGCCGTCCAAACAGACGCAGCTCATTCCTCACAGCAGGAAGCCAAAGCGGGCACACAGACAGTTTACAGGGACTGGCTGTCGGAGATTTAAAGGGGGGCGTGGACCTGTGTTCTGCTGCTGTTTGGATGAGGATGAGGAAAAGGGAAGATGGAACAAGAAAGAAGAAAGGGACAAGAAAAGAAGATCATTCCCAACATGGAGCTGGAGAGTAAAATCTTCTTTATGGAAGCGTGAAAGAGTCTCATTTCCATCTAGAAAAAGCTTGTGAGGGTATCAGCGATAGTGCTGCTGCTGCTGCTGATAGACTGAGATTCCTGCGGTCTGTTAAAGCCTTGATGTCATCAACAAGAAAATCCCCAGCATCACCACAGCATACGCTCACTTCTCAGCACCACAGTCACTCTGAGTCATTGTACAAACTCCTATATAAACACCACATACAGCAGAACACCATCATCAACAAAATACAGTCAGGGCAGGGTGCAGAGCTTATTAACTGAACAGAAATGCTACTGTACAAAACCTGAAGTCATACACAGGTATGTGATAGCAATTCTATAATATAACTGCTGTGCCAGTGACTAAAGCGACAGCAATTACTGCTATTTAACGAGCTCTGAAACACATAAAACACTGAACGTTACATAAATGCTGCACCTGGCTGTAATTTACAGCTACAGGAAAATAAACAGCCACATATCAGTCATCTGTATTCTAGGTGTTTGCATATAAATGAATTACTTAGCAAGTCGCCTTAACAGAGAGCTGAAAGTCATGAATACATAAAGAAAACTAAAATGATGAGTGTGAAATAGCAAAAAGCATCCGATAAACGGTTTAAATATGGATAAAAAAGAAACACGAGTTGAAATAGTTAAAAATAACAGATACATTTGATTCGCTTAAGCTAGTGGATAACAAGTAATAGCGAGCTAAAGTGACGGCTAATGAGTTAAAACAGCCAAAACGCATGGTTAATGAGCTGAAATAGCTAAAAGTAACAGATAATGGGTTGAAATGGTTAGCTAAAAGTATCGAATAATGGGTTGAAATGGTTAGCTAAAAGTAACGAGAAATGGGTTGAAATAGTTAGCTAAAAGTATCGGGTAACGAGTTAAAATATTTTAGCTAAAAGTATCGAATAATGTGTTGAAATAGTTAGCTATGAGTAATGAAAAATAGGTTGAAATAGTTAGCTAAAAGTATCGGATAATGTGTTGAATAAGTTAGCTAAAAGTAGCGAACAATGGGTTGAAATAGTTAGATGAAAGTACTGAGTAACATGTTGAAATATTTTAGCTAAAAGTATCGGATAATGTGTTGAAATAGTTAGCTAACAGCAACGGAAAATGGATTGAAATAGCTAGAGAAAAGTGTCGGACAACGTGTTGAAATATTTTAGCTAAAAGTATTAGATAACAATTTGAAACAGTTAGCTAAAACTAACTTATAACAGGTTAAAATAGTGATCTTAGAGTATCGTGTAACAAATTTAAAAAGCTAAAAGTAACGTATAAAGAGTTGAAATAGTGAAAAGTACCAGATTATGAGTTGAAACAACTAAAAGTAAAGTATAACTTGTTGAAATAGCTGAAAGTCATGGATAACAGGGTAAAATAGTGAAAAATAAATAATAAGGAATGGAAACAGCTAAAACTAACTGATAACAGTTTGTCTAAATTAGTGAATAACGAAATAAAATAGCTCAAAACTAATGAATAAATAGTTTAAACAGCAAAAAGTAACAGATAGTGAGTCTAAACAACTAAAAGCTCAAATATCTGAAAGTAGCACGACACTGAATTAGGAAAAAAATAACATATAAGTTGAAATAAGTGGCTTTAAATGATGTAAATATAAACTGGCTGTAATAGTGATGCTGTAGTGAAGTCTCTTGAACACTATGAGTGGCTGTAAAAGACCCATGTAGGAATATCACACCAACAATAATTCACTGCATGACACAAACGTTTTACAGTGAACTCATAGCAGCAAACACACATGATGGTCAGTGGTGGGATTAAAGCCACCAAGTCCCGACCAGCCTGCAGGACAACCACGGTGACACTAATGAAGAGGACGAGCGAGTGGATCAGTGGGTCCGGTGGGAAGCTCACTAGTTCTAATATGATTTGAACGCTGTAAAGTCACCGAGCAGCCCCACCGGCAGCAGCAGCAGCAGCCCGGCGGGAGGATCACCGGGATCTGACGGGGTGGAAGTTAGTCACAGGAGCCGTGGGTACTTACGTGCCGAGGACTTCTTTAAAATCAAAAATCTTCTTGATGTCGTCGACTTGCTTTTTCCACGTCTCTCCTCTGCCGGTGTCTCCGTTCTCCCGAGCCATGGCGCTGCTTTACCGGCCCGAGTCCGACCGACACTGGGCTGCGGGAGGAGGGATGCGAGAATAATAACAAGAGGCAAACAAAAAGGAGGAGAGAGCGGAAGACTGGAGCCGAGCTGGGTGTCAGAGGTTCGGAGAGTCCCGGTGCTCTGAGCTCCGCTGCTGCAGGACCATGTGAGTCCTCCTGCAGGTTACCGTGTCCCCTGCTACCTCCCTCCTCCTCCTCTCTCCCTCCTCCCCCCTCCTCCTCCTCCCCCTCCTCCCCTCCGGCCGTCTGGACAGCAGCTGTCAAAGCAGCGCGCGGACAGCAGCGCGCCAACACCGGCCTTTCAAAATAAAACCCCGCTGATTTACATAACGTAATATCAGCTGCTACAGTCGTCCTCAGATTTATTCATACCCTCCCATTAAAGAAGGAAAACACAGGTGTCACTGAAGCTGAAATAAAAAAAAAAAAGAAGTAATAAATAAAATTTAATGAAAATCATGACATTGCTTTTGAATTGTGGTTCAACAGAAATATTAGAGACAAACAAATAAAAAAACAAAAAAGCAAGCAAACAAGCATGATGGGACCCGTAAACTAATATTTAGTTGAACAACCCTTTGAGCCAATCACTGCACCTGTTGACAGCTATTTTGATTTTGGCCCACTGTTCATCAGTAAAGTGCTCTCTTTTATTTTATTTTTTTAAATTATCATTTTCAACCACAATTCAAAAAATATCTTATTTCATCAAATTATAATTCAGCAAATTTTTATTTATTACTACTTTTTTCAGTTTCCTCATTATTTGAGCGACTATTGTGAATTCTGCCTTTTCTTTAATGGAATGTATGAATACATTTGAGGATGACTGTATATTGGATCCAAAAAATTAATTAATAAAAGTTAAATCTTATGCTCCTACTACAACTATTGCAACTACTACGACTAATTATATAAAATAAACTGTATAATACATCATCATCATTATACACACAGCTCTACCCTTTACCCTTTACCATTATTCAACATAATAAAAACGTAAAATGAACGGCACAAATAGTAGATTCAAAGCAAGAAAAGTGGCAGTTTACCAGACCATAGCAATGAGAGCAAACAAACAAACAATTAAAAAAA